TCAGCCTGCCAAGAAGCTGTACACCCAATTGGTTCTTACACGATGAAATAACGTTCGAAGAAAGCAATAAGGAGGATTTTAACAGTCTTAACTCTTCCTTGCTATTGGTGCTCTCGTTAAGGTGCCCAAAATCGGCCAATAACGATGCCAAGTCCGTTACTTCAAGCTTGACCTCGAGCCARGCAAAGTCGAGAAGCTCTTCTCCAAGTTCTTCTTCTTTTGCAGCTCCGATCAAATGGAAAGCCAAGTAGCGAAAGAAGTATTTATCGTCACGTGGCCCGTTACTCCATTTTCCATCACCGCATYTTTTYCTGTATTTCTCTAATAAAAACCGGTGTGCCTTTTCCAAGGCCAATTCATCACTTTTCTCGAGCTTCAAACGACCTCTAATGTARTCCAACAGCATGTCATGGACTATGTAACAGTTTTTCGTCGTTCCGTTTTGAATGAGTGAGCGACGTTCTAAAAACTCTAAAATACTTCTTGTTTTCCTTCCTGGGATGTTCCACAACATTTCCAAGACGTAGGAAGGAATTTCACTGTCTTCAGGAAAAATGGCAAAATCAAGAAACTTTTCTCTGTAGTTATAGAGTTCGCCAGATCCCACACTTGGAAGCGCTCGGAAGCTTACTTCAATAGCAGCRAGRAGGTTCTTGTATGGATACGACTCCATCGGAAAACATGAACGGATCTCTTCCAAATCAGCTTCTTTGAGACCTTCCAAGCGATCTTGCCAGTCTGCGACACTGTCAAGTGAAGCATCGACAAGACTTGATCCAACCAACGCAAGAGCTAGAGGTAATCCATCACACTCTTCCAATATATCCTCTACTAACACACACACGTCTTCAGACAAAGAGCCCAAGTCCTTTTGAGCGCATTTCAGAAGCAATTCTCTTGCTTGCTTTTTTCCTAAAAGCCCGAGTCTATGAAGRTGAGAGCCTCGTAAACCTCTTACGACGTCTGAAACCCTGGTGGTAATGAGCAGTTGGCACGATCCTTCGAGAATATCCAAGGCATTGGCATGGTTCACGTCCCACACATCATCCAAGACGACCAGAGTGTCCATCTCGGAGCTTTTACTTCGAATCCAATTTTGCGCTGAAGCAACGTCGCTAAGAGCAACTGGTTGGCCTTCCCAAACATTAGCTAAGGTATTCAGAAGCGATAAAATGTCGGGGGTTTGGCCGACTGTTAACCAGACCACTTGCCTTTGTTTCTTGATTTGCCAACAAACTGCTTGTGCAAGTACAGTCTTTCCAATACCTCCCATGCCTTTGATTCCGACTACTTCGCGTCCTCGTATTCCTGTTGAAGGGCGATTCTTTTTGGCGTCTACTACACCAATTGATGTCTTACCGGAATTTAAAAGCTTGATTACTTCTTCGACGTCGTCTTGACGATGCACATAATCCGCAGGTAGATTACGCAGGCCATACGACTGTGGAACTGGATAAAAAAAATTTAAGTTTACATTAAATCATTATTATATAAAATATAAAATATATACAAAATATATTCGAACCTTGTTCTATAATCTAGTTGAATGACACAAAAACTGCATTAGAACTCACATTAGAGCATATTTAGTTATGAGATTTTTGAAAAGGTGTACAAATAAGTGTACATAGTGACAAACCTTTGGGCTTGGATCGAACAGAATCGAATCTATTCAGATTTTCCATCAAGTCTTTTCTGGGTATCTTCTCCAACAGCATCTTCAGTGCAGTCAAATCTTTTTCACTCAATTTTCCACGGTGTTCCAGAGTTTCAAAGAATTCCAATGCTGTAGTATTAGATTCACGAGTACCATCAGGAATAACATCAGCAAGGAGGAATTTCATAGCTTCCAAATTATCATCGTTAAGTTTTAAATCCAAATGGACAAGAAGCTGTCTGTAGGG